ACAAATCTTATACAATGTCAGAATTACAATATATTTAATGCTTTCTTTAGGTTCTGTATTACCATCCATGTTCTGCCCTTCATTATGTAAGCTGATCATGCCAGTGTAATAATGAAGGTGGGAAATTCTGCTTTCCCTGGACAAAAAAAAATATGTAAGAGTTCAACATAGTTGGGCCTTGTATTCAATGCTCTGGGCAACACTTTAAAATAATCCTTCAAATAAATATTTTTTTGTTTTGTTTTTTAGCTTCTTTAGTGCTTCAGCTTGTGAAATAATCAATTAAGCTTAAAAAAATGATCTGAACCAAATCCCATTCTGGAAAATGTTTTATTTCCAGTATATGAGAATGTTGTGTTTACGTCGTATATGTTCTGATGGCAAATATGTCTTTGCCAGCTGAGGGAATGGTGAAGATACAGAACTGTTTTTGCTTTTTTTTTTCAGCGTTGTTGGTTTGTCTTTCCTGTTTGGTTCTGTTTCAGCATTTTGTTTTTTGTGCTTGTTGTTGTGTTTTGCTGTCCAGTGTTCTGAAAAGAGGCACTTATATTTTTCCTAGTTAGGAACATAACTGAACAAACAGACATGAAGGCAGCATTCTAGGTATTAAAGTGTTTGATAAAACGGGAAGTCAAAGCACTGCCATTTGTGCTGGCCACACTCTGTGATGTCAGGATCGATGTCTGTGTGTGTGTGGCCTAAAATTGTATTCAATTACATTATAATGTTTAGGTTCATTATTGAGCAGGTTGCTTAATAAGGCCAGAGCATGACCACTATCTCGGTGTGTGCATTCATCCTCCAATCATGCCAGCCATGATCTCATACCTAACACCAAACTTCACCTATAGTTGTATGAATGATGACAGTATAGCAGAGACACAAACATAAAACAGGGCATTGAATTTGGCTGCTTTGCTAAGCACCCATTGGTCAATATGTATGTGGTGGAGGTGCTCATTAGAGTGGAAATGCTTCACACTGTGAAGTGTAATTTGAAATCGGAAACAAACATTTGGCTCTTTTTGGGTTTTTTTTCCTGAATTTGTTTTTTCTTCTCTTTTTCTTTTGGGGCCTATTTAAAATGAAGGGGTGATATCGCTATCTGCTAGAAATGCAGTGCTAGTTCTACACTGCCCCTGCATTTTACAAGTACAGGCCGTGGTGTGGAGCTAACGGTGCAGAGAACACTCTGACAGGAGGAGATGCTGGTCACATGACTTGGACAGATCATGTAACCAGGCCCTCCCTTTATTTTCCAATGTTTTGGAAAATACATTTTCTTCAGAGTTAGCAAAGAGCTTGAGCTTCGCGCATTTGTAAAGCACATTTTTATGCTTTATAAACATATCTTTAAAAAGTATGGCTGCAGTAAGGCTCCTTTTATAACTTGGCCCCTTGGTGGTGTTTTTTTGACAAATCAAAAAGACAATTTTCACTGAGACTTTGCTTTTATATTTTAAAGGATTTCCATGGAAAATGAGAATCTATTTCACTGAGGCTACTCTGCATAGTGACAAGGGGTACCACCTATCCCTTGAAACAAGCACTAAACTTCTTGTAGCTTATTGCACAGCGGTTCAGCCATTGAAGGAAATTCATCAAAACTGGAGCAGGCACATAACAACCAATCAGCTTCTCTTCAGTTTGTTCAGTTAGGAGTAGAAAATGAGAGAGAGAAGTTGATTGGTTGCCATGGTAAACTGCTCCAAATTTGATAACCTTCCCTCGTGTTTTATAATTGCACCTCACAGACAGGTTGAACCAGAAGAGATCTTGTGTGTGAAGAAAACCCAGGAATCGGGGTGAAAGGATTTCTCAATGCACAGAGAAGGCTCCGGAACAAACAGTCCTATAAATTTCCTACAGCGTGTGAGTGTTTGTAGTAATGTCAAACACAACTGCACAAAGTGATTTTAAAGGGGACCTGTGTTGAAAGTCATGGAGGCTGCCATCGCTGACTTCTCCTGCATGTTGGTCCGGTGGTTTCTGTATTTCCTGAGCCATCACCTCTAAACAAGTATGCACATCAGGAGTGCTGACTTCAGGTCACTGTTGCATAAAGTACTGACGCCGCAGCCATAGAGGCAACTCGTTTTTTAGCCTGGGCAGTCTTTGTATTGATCTCAGTATGGGTTTCCTTTAAAGCCTCACCTCAGTATGTGACAATACAGATTGGAGGGAGAATGTACACTCCGCTCATGTTAGTGAGGAGTAGATCCATCAGTTCACCCTGCACTTTCCAATCATGAGATGGATAATGGTCAAATACACAAGTATGCCTTCTTCACCTTGAGATCACACTAGTGCCAAACCAGATTAGTCTAGACTAAGCACTTGTCTTTCTGAAATTAATTTATATCGCTTTAGCAAATAAAAATATTAGTAATCTGTTTGCCAACAACGGCACTGAATATCTTATTTATCAAACTGAAGTTTTCAGCAGGGCTGTCAAGTCCAGTAGATTACGGGTAGTAAATATTTAAGTATGTTTGGTTTACAAGAGGCGTTTCTGCGCCTCACTGCATTTTTTAATTACAGTTGATAAGAGTTTGTAATATGTAGTTTATTAGCCATGTGGTATTTTGTGAGTGGAATGAGTATTGTCTAAAAGAAAACCTGTATTTTGAAGGGCAGGGTCTGTCTATGTCCGTGTATGTGTGTGTACATAGCATGAGCAGTGGCGTCGTTGCTACATGAAATGCAAAAAGTACCCCGACTCAAACGGGGGCCCTCCGAGTCTTGCGTCATTGCTGAAAGAACAGTTCTGTATCTTGATTTCTTTTTTATTTCCTCTTAACAAAACCCTCTGGTTGCATTGGGAAGATCTATACTGGTCATTTCACTTTTACTGTACATGACAAACACAATGGATATTTTAGCCTTCACTGGATGGGAGCAGAATAGTGAGGGAATACATTTTAAGTCTCTAGTGTGGTTTGCATAGACCTTCATTTTGTTTGAATCCGCATCAGAAAGCATCCAGTGGTAGAGAAATGGAGTGATGTCGGACATTTGTCAGATTTAGGAAGTGACTCTGATGCTGTGTGAACATAGCTGTGGATCAGAGGATTCTCTACCCAACAGGATCAAGGCTCTGTGCAATGTTTGCAGATCTTTCAGGGGCAATCTGGTTTAAACACCCACCTTCAGCTGCTTTCCTCAGTGGTTTCTAAATTTTTATTTTATTTTCATCTTTCTGTTTTCCAATCCAGTAAGGCTTCAGAAAGAAAAGTACTGGCCAGAGATTTTCACTACCTCTGGGACAAAAACATAAAACTTTAAAAAAACACACAAAAAAAAACAAAAAAAAGTTATGAAATTGATGCATTGCTAATAAAATAATATAAATGATTTAAAAAAATATTTTCCAAGTTTTTTCTTGTTTAAGAAAATAAAAAATAGAAAAAAATAACATCGTCAATTTGTTACATTAAAATTACATGCTGTGTGTAAATTATTCATACAAATATTCCTGTGTTTATATTAAAAAATGAATCAGTAGATAAGAAAAAAAAATTCAACATGTTTTTGTATATTCTGTTGTAAGAATTTATTCATGTTCTTGCTATATAATCTGAATTCTTTACATTATTGAAAAAAAGAAAAAAAAAAAGAAATTTGTCTATTTTGAATGGCTGAACCTAAGGCAGTTTTAGTTTCTCTTACTCTGCTTTTTTTTCTAGTAGTTCCAGTACTACAAGATTTAAGTTAAATAAAATAATTCTGTATGCATTTTTGGTGTATTGGTTTTTTGTTCTACATACTGTATATTGTGCACATCTGTCATACATGTATACTTCAGCTTTGAGGCAGTTTGTAAAGATCCGTTACATGGTAAATAAGGAATATACAGTATACACGATATATACAGTATGTGACACAAAGCAGATCATAGGGGAGATGAATATTGTTGAGTATATGGACACAGGCATATGACAGTCTGCGGTTAGCTTAGGGTGAGCTTCATTCAGCAACTAATAGAATGGAGTTCATACAAAGCTGTCACGGATGGTATCTTCTTGTTTTGGTATTCCCATGATGCACAAGTTTCAGTGTTAACTGTTTACATGTAATAATTATAGGGACACTAAACTCAGGAGTTCAATCTTTGAAATGCATTCAAGTACCTAAACTATTGACAAAACTATATCTTATTTGTGTATCACTCGGCTGTAGATCCTCAAATCCTCTCTGAATTGGTGCGGATACTGTCCTTCCTAGCTCCAAGCTCGCTCCCGTGATGGACTACAATCTCAGTACAAATTGGTAAACTAAACGTGAGATTGTAGTCTATCGCAGGAGTGAGCTTGGAGCGGTGGCTACTTTACAACACACACAGGGACCATGGGGAACAAAAGTAGCCACCCTCCAGAAGGAAGGACAGTGTCAGCACCAATTCAGAGATGATTTGAGGATCTGCAGCTGAGTGATACACAAGATACATTTTTATTAATAGTTAAGATACCGTATATACTCGAGTATAAGCTGAGAATTTTAGCCCATTTTTTTGGCTGAAAAGTGCCCCCCTCGGCTTATACTCGAGTCAGCACCAGGTGTCATCTTACTTACCTAAAATGGTAATCATGTTCTGACATACAGATTGCTATTAAAAAAGGTACATAAAATAATCAAAATGTGGAACAGCAATCAAGTAACGTAATATTCCTAATAAATAGAACTTGAAGGTATCATTCATAGTTAAAACTCAAAATGTGCAATAAAAATATACCACAGTTACCTTTAAAAATAATAAACTAAAAATAAATCAAGACAACACTGAGTAGATGTAAAGTGATTAATGAACAATGATCTTTGTAGATATCATAATAATGTATATATCAGACATAGAACAGGGGGGAGGGGGAGACGACAACAGGGGTTGATACATACTTTAATATTTCTATTAACCCTTTCATGACTGAGGCCTTTTTTTCATTTTTTGTACCCATGTTATATTCCACATTTTAGGCCTGAAAATTACTTAAAACCCCCCAACATTATAACAGATCTGATTTATGCTCCACTTGTCTCAACACTTCTTGGATAATCTTTTGCAAAGCTTGGCCCAGTTTTTCTGCGGTTAATGTTTTGGTTAATTGGGTCACGTGAATGAACAGTACGTTTGCTAAAACCAACATATCTGCCAGAGCATGTGACCTATGACCTTTGTGTTGCCTAACATTAAACACAGCACCGTTCTCTACCATTGTCCCAAATGTCATGAGTTTTTACATAACGATGTGGTTAAAATTAGCATCTGAAAAAAAAGAGCATCAAAATAATAGAAATATTTGTTGAATTTTGAATAATTCAATATGGCCGCTGAACTATGTGGCCAATTGACTTGATCAGTTGTGACTGTAGATCATAGCATAACTTTACACAGCAATTTGTACATCTGTAGCTGTAATTGTTACTGAGAAAGAAATGTTTGACTATTGCCACCTAAAACAAGATGGCTGCCAGGCAATGTGACCTATGACCTTTGTGATGTAAAAGATTAGGCACAGCATAGAACTCTACCATTGGGCCACGTTGCATGAGTTTTTGAGTAACTGCGCTTATTACAGGCTTTTGAAAAAAAAGGCCATAACAATAATACTATCTAATTATCATTGGCTTGCAGCGGCCATATTGATTTGGAGATTGGAACTATTTTTACAACTGTGGTAGAAGAGGTCGCCCTGGACATATGTGCAAAGTTTTCAATAATTCTGATAAATAGTTTCAGAGATTAAGTTGTTTGCAGAATATTGCACAATCCAAAATGGCTGCCAAACCATGTGACCAACTTATACTGAACCCACGTGACATTGTGCAAAGTTTCAGGAGTTTTGGACTAATATTGCACCTCTTACAAGCATTAAAAAAAAGAAGCTTTGCAATAATAATCGGAACAAAAACAATAGGTGTCCAGCAACTTCGTTGCTTGGCCCCCTAATAAATGAAATGGTGTCAGTACAAAGCAGTACATGGGATGCCAACTCACTAAACCATAGATCATTCTTCTACCCTCCTCCCAGAAATGAGACATGTTTTCAGTTGAAATCCGCTAATCTCTGGCCGGGTCAGGTCAGGAAGTCACATATGCCGCCCAAAGTAGGCATGAGGCTCAGTTCACAAAGCTGTAACAGAAGGATAAGGATCTTTATTTAAGCCATGTGACTGTCATTTTTAAATCTCATTGGACTCCACTGAAAAATATATATATATAAATATATATACTAGGGATGTCCCGATGCCACTTTTTCAGGCCCAACTACAAGTACAAGTACATCCCTACATGTGCTTTTTCTTAAAGGGACAGGTGACTTTAAATGATCCATAGTACACGGCTAACTTTCACGCTGCCGGACAGCCGCAAATACTCTCCGGATGGAGTAGACAGTGATGGGAGAGCTGCACTCGCAGCCCTTCCTCTCAGCTGTCACGAGTTCTAGCTCTAGTTAGACACGGGCAGCAATCTAGGTGCGTCTTATGGTCAGGTGCATGTAATGGAGCGACAAAATACGGTATATAAAATGTATATAATGTATATCTCATGTTTAAGCTTTGTGAATTAAACTCATGCTGTTTTTCCAATTATATAACTATCACTTCTGATAATAAATAAATATGTTTGTAATAATGGTACTCTAACCCTGATCACAGAACATGGTGCCTTCCCATGTACTTGAAGGGGAGAGAGCAAGGCCCCAAATATATAAAAGTATTGCTGGTGTGACACTAAAAGCATCCATCGTACATCGCTCCAACACGGTGGACATTATAAAATGACAACTTGACGTTAATGAACCCTGTGATAATATAATGCCTGGGGGGGGGGGAAATCAGCCGGCAGTAGAAGTGATTACAATTCTAGATGGAAGTCTGGAAGTCCCATGGCTGACATGTTCATAAAAATTCCGTTTCCTGGGCTGTCATCCTAGCAAATCATTGAGCAAGAAGTATGGAAGGATTTGGACTTCGCTGGTGGCATGCGCTAGGTGGTGATTCCAGGGTCAGGATGACAGGCCCAGGGCTGATGGCATTACAAATAAGTCAGCAATGGCGGCACCCATATTTTTAGCCTCACAAGTTTCATGTAATCTGACCTTTTGGCTACCTCTCAATTTACTCAAACTCTAAAAACCTAACCTAGCTCCATAGGAAGTCCATACAAAGAGAAATACCAGGGCTGCCACTGCTGACTTCTTTTTAAGAATACAAGTTTCCTGGCTGTATGTGGCTTATTTTTTTCTACATCACTGACCTGGAACAAGCATTTGGAATAGAAAGTCAGAGTTGGGTCAGAACTAATCTATTTCTTTCAGGTCAGTGCCTCAGAAAGTTGCAATTGGATTAGCATGGCAGATAGGCAACCATCATTTTAAAGGGAGTGGTTAGCAGTGGTAGCTTCCGTGGTTTTTTCAATACAGGTTTTATTTAACTTTTACTTCCTGTCTCCCAAATGGGAAAAGACCTGTGGGAGTAATAACCCTTCTTGGCTCTATCCAAATCAATAAATGTTTTATGGAAGCAACGCTAACTTTGTACCTACCAGTTTTTGAGCTGTCACGCCCCAGCCAGAAAGGCCAGGGAAGAAGCTGATCAAGCATAATCTGAAAATTTGGGTTTGCTAAACAGACGTGCTTATATCATGCAACATAAAAACATTCTTCATGCCTAAAATGTCCATTTTATTATGTGTTTCTGTCACTGAAAGGTGTAAGTAAAGCCCAAACTTTTTTTTCCTTAGTTCTGAATAGAGTAGGTGATGATAGAAAAAAAACCTGTATGGGAGTAAGAGGACATCTCTCTAAAGTGAGGGGATATCCTTTCCTTAAAAGCCGTCACCAGAACAGGTGTCCCCATTGAAAGATTTTCCCTCACTTACTGTTATGTTGAAAATTTTAAAACCAAACCGAAAAGAAATAAAATGTCAGGCCGAAACCGAAAATGTTTTTTTTTTCTAACTTTTTAAAAAAATATTAAATATTTAATTTTTATTTCTTTTTGAAACGGTTAAAAAAATGTATATTTTATTTTTATTAAACATTTTTATTTTTTACTTTTAGGTTCTTCAGGGAAATATTGGGGGTCTAAACAGACCCCTGATATTTCCCTTTCAAAATAGAAAAAGAGATTGAGAACAAAGAGTCCTCAATCTCTTTCTCTGCAGCCCCTGTTATCAATGAATAGGAATCCTCTAAAGTGATTGTTCCTGTTCATTCATAACTTGTGGATATAGTGTGTTTACTATAACCACATTCATGAATGAAAAGGAGGTGATGTAGATCACTTCCCATTCATTCATAATTGGGGACACTGTGAACATATTATGTCCTCAATGATTTACACACACACCCTCAGCGATCACTGATCACTGACTGCTTGTACCCGCTCTTTATCCTGGATCAGCTGTCACAGGAGGCTGGATGAGTGGAGCGGGAGGAGAGCTCAGCCTCCTGTAACAGCTGACCGCCGCTCTCCTGATCTGTCACAGGAAGTTGAGCGGTGCGGGAGGAAAGACGCCGGCCGCTCACAGCGTTCTCCTCCCCTGCACCTCTTGGCCTCCTGTGACAGTTTCTCTCCTTCCGCTGGGACACAGAGCAGTGCCCAGCGGATGAGGAAAGAAAGCAGGGATGCGCCATTTCGGCCAAAAAATTTTTCGGACGATATGTTTCGGAGACTGAAATTCCGGTGCATCCCTAGTGACAACCCTTCCCCACACTATCTAAAACTGAAAAAAAAAGTTTCAGCTTTACATACACTTTAACATTACCCTTATCTTGGCCTAATACTGAAATTGAACCCAAATGTTGTCATTGCTAAAAGTATTGAGCCACCCTGCACGAGGATATGCAGTGCACCAACTTTAAGTTGTTATGGGCAGCTTGGCATATCCCAGACTTGGGATGTCCTGGGTTCCACTTGTACAAATAGAACTTTATGATGCCATTACACCCTGGGGTTCCTTCTGGCTTCCTCAGAGGTGCCTTGAAATTTCTGCAACGTGTCATGTGCTTCCATTGCCAGCACCATGAAAACGAATGAAGCTAAGGAGGGAGAAGGGACTGCTGATGTGAAAAGGGGGCTCTTGATTTGAAGGGGGCGTCTGATGTGAAAAGGGGGCTCTTGAAATGGCTATGGTGGGATATGCAGGGTCTACGGTGGGCTATATGGATTCTCCGCTGGTTCTATAGTGGGCTGTGTGGACTCTCAGGTTGGTGCCATAGGTTCTATGCTGGGCTTTGCAGACTCTAAGGGGGTCTGTGGTGGGCTATGTGGGGTCTATGGTAGGCTGTGCGGACGCTCAGGTGGGCTGCGCAGGTTCTATGGTGGGCTGTGTGGACTCTCAGGGGGTCTATGGTGGACTATGTGGGTTCTATGGTGGGCTATGCAGACTCTCAGGTGGCATGTGCAGGGTCTATGGTGGGCTGTGCAGACTCTCAGGTTGGCTCCTCTGGTTCTATGGTGGTCTGTGGACTCTCAGGTTGGCGCCATAGGTTCTATGCTGGGCTGTGCGGACTCTCAGGGGGTCTGTGGTGGGCTATGTAGGGTCTATGGTAGGCTGTGTGGACGCTCAGGTGGGCTGCGCAGGTTCTATGGTGGGCTGTGTGGACTCTCTGGGTTTGTGGTGGACTATGTGGGGTCTATGGTGGGCTATGCAGACTCTCAGGTGGGATGTGCAGGTTCTATGGTGGGCTGTGTGGACTCTCAGGTTGGGTCTGCAGGTTCTATGGTGGGCTGTGTGGACTCTCAGGTTGGCACCACAGGTTCTATGCTGGGCTGTGCTGACTCTCAGGGGGTCTGTGGTGGGCTATGTGGGGTCTATGGTAGGCTGTGCGGACGCTCAGGTGGGCTGCGCAGGTTCTATGGTGGGCTGTGTGGACTCTCAGGTTGGGTCCGCAGGTTCTATGGTGGGCTGTGTGGACTCTCAGGTTGTGTCCGCAGGTTCTGTGCTGGGCTGTGCAGACTCTCAGGGGGTCTGTGGTGGGCTATGTGGGGTCTATGGTAGGCTGTGCAGACTCTCAGCTGGACTGTGCGGGGTCTCTGTGCAGTCCCGCTCCGTCAGTCTGTGGGTAAGGGCGGTGTGGATCCACAGAAGGAGGAGAACATATTAAGCTGGCACTGTAAACAGGTGCCGCGATACACAGGAAAGCTGCGGGAACCTTGCCGGGGACCTTGGCAGCCTTCCAGTGAACCTCGGCGTCTGTTTACAGTGCTGGCTTCATTTTTAAAAGGGAGAGGTGCGAGAGCCACATGAAATGGCTGGCAGGCTGAATTCGCCTTTCTGTTTGACATATGTGCTGTAGAGGGATGCTGTAGGGGGGATCTTTTGCCTGTAGGGGGGATTGTTTGCCAGTTGGGGGGATCTTTTGCCTGTGGTTTTATTATTTGCATTTATGTTTTTGGGGTGCCTCGGGATTTTACATACTTTTAAAGTGTGCCCCAACTGAAAAAAGGTGAAATGCTGGTTTATTGAGAGAGAATAGTTTCCATCGTGAGAGAACTGTGAAAGGCAAATGATTGTCCTCATATTAACACACAGAATCTAATATACATCTTGGCTCTAGATGTTTTATTACCTTCCAGCATCTCTGGAGTAGATCACATCGATCCCTTGCAATGAAATATCTTTGCAGACACTTTTCATGATAATAGAAGACTCTATTCTTTCCGGTCCTTCTGGTAAACAACAACCTTCTTGTGGGTGATCCCGGCTGAGGTCCCTATCCGTATAGCCTTTGTTTCTTCCACAGAGGCGGCTCTCTAATTAGGCGAGTTAGGCGGTCGCCTAAGGCCTTGCGCTTACGAGGGCCTCGCGGCCGCCTAACTCGCCTCTGCAGATTTTAGCTGCAACGATTTCCAAGCGGGCAGAATGCGGCGCCCGCGGCCTCTGCAAATCCCCGCTCCTCCCCCATCTGCCACTGCGGGCCTCGCGGGGAGAATGGGGTGCCGGTGATCGATCAAACACCGGACGCAGCCTCCGGACAAGCCCTGCCCCCTCCCCATCTGCCACTGCGGGGAGAATGGGGTGTCCGCAGCTTTAGGACAAGCCCTGCCGACTCCCCATCTGCCACTGCGGGCCTCGCGGGGAGAATAGGGTCGGTGCCCGCAGCCTCAGGACAAACCCCGCCCCCTCCCCACTTCCACATTGTTCCAGGACAATTGCTTTGGATGAGGCCACCATTACGACATGCACAGACAGCCAGTGTGTTTTGCCAGCAAACAATAACAGGAAATGAGGCAAAGTTAAAAGCAGATTACTTATCAGTCTCTTTAACTGACTAAATGTTTACTTAGATTAGGACTCCGATAAAATGTTTGAACACCTGGTGTTACCGGTTTAACCCTTTCATGGCCATTAGCAGTTTTATGCCCCAAAAGCTGTTCTAGAGTGCCGCTTCATGTCGGGTACCTGCAGGTTGCATGCATGTGCGGCTCAGTGTACACTTTCCGCATCTGATAGGATGAATGAACTGCACATTATCCTGGCTCAGCCAATCAAATGGCTAGAAATCCTGCACCTAGAAGACCACTGGATACTTTAAGTATCAAGTGGGACAAGCAACGCGTATCTAGCTGTGGGTGGGATTCTGGTACACCATTGCTGATGCCTTGCTCAAGATTAAACCTGCTTAAAAAACAGTGGAGGACATTTATCTATTGTGTCACACACAATGAGACACATGAAGTAGCAGCTTGATGAATAAATCTCACTCTCTGCTGCTTTAAAGTAACACTGCAATAGAATAAAACATGCCCTGGCCACTTTAAGTGTATGTAAAAAAACAAACCACAAACATATTTATATTTAGCACATCTCTGCAAAATATGCATCAAGTATGGAAAAATCCTGTTGATGTGCCAGAACTGCACTCGGTTTTGTCCTCTTGTGGACTGACAATACACAGGATTTTTGTGGACTGAGTGGTGTCAGCACTACCTAGCTGTCTTTTGCTAAACTACTCAAACTTACCCACTCAGCTCCACAGAATTGACACTAATCGTTTTGTAGTCCCGAGGTAAGAACTAAGAGGGCTAATTAGGCTCTTTGAGATAAAGAAGTATGCACAAGGTAGCTGTAAATTTCTGACATGAGTAACGGGTATGTTTTGCACTTTTTAAACATGTTATGTAACACTTTTCAATATTTTATTTGACAGGCCAAAAGCTGGACAATTAGAGACATTTATAGGGTTATTCACTACAGAGCCGAAGGATCCAGCCGTAGCTTCGGCTCACTTTGGCCGCCTGATCCCTATCACTGCTGTACCCTCCACTGTACTGTGTTCCACTCCTGATCCCTTCACTGTAGCCCGTACAGCAGCCCAGCCTAACTCATATGTTTCTGAGCCGTAGTGACAGGCGAATGGTCGGCCGAAGCCAACCAATCTCCACGCAAATGACAGCTGGGTGGAGCCAGTCGTGATCTCACGGCTTGCTCGGGCCAGTTGTAATGACAGATCAGCATCCCCAAATGACCTGGGGACGCTGATCTGTCATTAAACTATAACAACTGGGCAGAGCCAGCCTTGACGTCATGGCCGGCACTGACCAGTTGTTGTTTATCACCCGGGACCTGCTAGAAGACTCTGGCAGGAGCTGGCCAATAGGAATCAGTTGGGCGGAGCTAGCGGTGATGTCACCGCTAGCTCCGCCCAATTGTTTGTTTTGCCTGCATCTGTCAGATATGACATTATGCGGCGGGAGGTCATCATGTGTGGTCGGGTAGGCGTGCATCGTTGTTTTTCTTTCATTATTTATTTATTTTATTTGAAATATTTTTAGTATTTTCTTAACTGTTTTTTAAATTTTCGTATTTTCTTAAAATACTTTAAAAAAAACATTTTCCCCACATATTTACATCTCTTTCTATTCTGCTCGCTACCTTGGAGGCTCAGCGGCATTCGGCTATTCACTCACTGCCATTCGGCCCCTATGAGAATATGTTGGATCGGCTGAGTCGAACACCTTCTGCACTTTGGCTCAGCTGACCAAGGACAGCTGAAAGCAGCCATACAAGGCTGAAGTGAATAGTAGAACAGCGTTCGGCTCACTTCACTTTGGCTGGGTTATTCACTCGGCTGCCTTCGGTAGCTTTCTGATTAACCCCCATTCCTTGTTAGGGTTTAGACACGCTTATTGTGTAGTGACATTGTACAGAGACTTTCTGTCTTATCTTTAAAGCTAGATTGGTGTGTCAGTTTGCTGCCCAGGAGTCTTGGGGCCAGGCCAGAAAGCCATCACTGAATGCCCATGTTGAACTTTGAAAAGGAAGAACTACAACCGCAGGCAACCACAATGAGTCCCCAACTGTCAGCTAAGTACAGAAAAATTAGCCTACAACGGGCACATTATCAATTGAAGATTGGAAAATATTGGCTGATATGAAAAATTCCAACCTCTACTCTGCAGATGATAGGGTCAGAATCTTGAGTCCATGGATCTCTCATGTTCTGTGTCACTGGTTTAGATTGCTGGTGGTGTGATGATGTGGGGAGTGTGTGCTTGGCACACCTAAAGTCCATTAATACCAACCGAACCTCATTTGAATGTGGCTGCATACCACATGATCCACTTTAATGGATACTTGACATGTGTACATAATAAATTAGGCCCCATTCACATCTGCAAATCGGGCCGACCTCAGGAGTCTCAAAAATTCCTTTGAGACTTGTGATCTGCTGCGGGTGGCAGGTGCTGTACAATACAATAACAGCTGCCACCATACACAGCAGGTCGCGGGCCACTCGCATGTAATTGCAAAGGCTGCAAATACCTACGGACGACCACACCTGGACGCAGACTGTTGGCCACCTAGTGTATGTATGCCACTGTCAAGACTATATTAATACCTGTGGCCCTCTTCTCATCTCAATAATATAAAAGGGAAGTGTTCTGTAGTCCAGCAAGGAAGAACTCAGGCATGGCTGATAACACTGCTTGCGATTTTAGTGCAGCAAGAGCAATCTGTCAGCAAAAACATGGAGAAAGGTGCATGTATTACAGAGATATACTGAATATATGTATATATTTTTTATTTTGCCCAGATGTGCAGTTTACATCTGATTGGTTTCTGTGCAGACAGACAGTTTTCCCCTCTGGTACTTGGTACATGAAGCCTTTCATTACATCTAAATAAAATCACGAGTTGTATATAAAGTGAACAATTATCCTCACAATCACATGACAATCCAAGTCAGATATGTTGTATATATCAAACCTGGAGTGAGATCTGCCTGCTTGAGTGCTTGTCACTGGACTTCCTGATGCAATCAGATGACCACATTACCCTTGAGTACTTCTCAAATAAGCCTTCAGACTGGAATGACTTCAGTGGCATAAAATGCCCTCAGTCAAGAAAGGATTAAGACATTACACAGATTACACATACTGACGCGTGCTGCATATATTTAACTGGTAAATTAAATACACATTCTTATCTGCAGAACAAAAATGGCAATAAGGCAAACATAGTTTATAACATATGCAATGGGAGAATGATTATTATCATAAAGAATATAAAGCCTAACTTCCTCCTTACATGAAAATTATCAGTTGGACTGGAATATTCAAAATTCAATGCTTAGCTAACACATACATTTTCAGAAGCATTAGTATAGGGTAATATGGAATAGCAGAGGAGTGGATTGGTACAGTGATGCCCCCTGGGCCAGCACAACTTAACCACTTTAGTCCTCCCGAGCCCCGTTTCAAAACCGCACCGCAAAGCTCCTGCAAGTCCCTGCTGGCATGTGGGCTGGAACTGTCAGCTTTTAGTGACAGCTGGCATCCAGCACTAAGCACAGGAACAGAAACTATTAGCTCCTGGGCTTCTGACCTTGCAGCACAACTTTCCATAGGAGCACTTTTGGCAGATCACTGTAAACACAATGTTTCTTCATTGTGTTTACATTTGAAGTGACGTGACATCACGTGACGTCACCGCAGTTCCTCCTAATACGGTGGTTAAGGCAGAACAGAAGCAGCTCTTATTTGCCTCTAAGTGCAGCAGATCACTCCTATAGTAATGTATTGCTTGCTTACTGCAGCCAGCAATAGATCAGTATTAGAGGTGATCTGTTGCTGCAGTTGCATGGGGGCATCTGGATCAGGTCTCCACTGACCAAATCCACATTCCCCATAAAATAATTTAAAAAAAATCTGAAATGTAAAAAAAAAATATTAAAAATAAATGTTATTTATATACATTATTATGTTACGGGATTTATATAGTGGCAAAAAAGTGTGTGCACTGCTTTACAATATAAAGGCAGGCAGTACATTTATAATACATTGCAAGACAGGAGGACCCTGCTTGTGAGACCATCCAATCTAAAAGGGAGGTGCACGTGATAGAAAAGGTTCTAACTGTGTGGGAATGAGTTGATAGAGAAGATGAAAGTTCTTGGTAGAGGTAGGGTAAGCTTTCTCAAATAGAAGAGTTTTCAGGGATCACCCAAAAGGTGGACAACATAGGATATAGCCAAAGAGGTTGGGGTAGGAAATTTCAGAGGATTGTAGAGAAATCTTGCAGGTGAGCATTGGAGGAGGTGACGAGGGAGCTAGGGATCACGAGGTCTTGGGAGGAGTGAAGAGGGCAGTTTGGGTGATATTTTGGAATGAGGTTGGTGATGTAGCTCAGTGTTGTGGATGACTGTATGTTGTTGTTCTTCATATTTTGAATTGTATTCCTTAGGCAAGCAGACGCTAGTGGAGTGACTAGCAGAGAGGGGCAGCGGACACTCAGCAGTAAGAAAGGTAGATGAGTCTGGCAGCAGCATTCATGACAGACGGAAGGGGGGATAATCTGTGTAAAGGTAGGCAAACAAGGATGGAGTCAAGGCGAGAGATAACAAGTGCGTGAATAGGTATTTTGGTGGTCCCATTGGTTATGAAGGGGTGCATTTTTGATGTATTATAAAGGTTAAGACAGCAGGATTAGAACACTGATTGGATGTGATGCCTGAAGGATAGGCCAGAGTCCAGGATTATACCTCGCACCCTGGCATAAGGTTAGGAACTCAAATTGATGGAAAAGTCAGGGGAGCGGAAATGGGGGGAATATTATGAGCTCAGTTTTGGAAAGACTAGGTTTTAGCGAGTGGGGTGACATCCATATGGATAGGTCAGTAAATTAGCAATGCGCAAGAAGACTGAGGAGTAGATAAATAGATCTGGGGGTATATTAGCATAGAGTTGGTATTGAAAGCCATAGGAGGCCAAGGCAGATGGTGTAGATAAAAAATAGAAGGGGTCTGAGGATAGAGCCTTGAGGGATCCCTAAGGAGAGAGAAGGAGGAGATGGAGTTGTAGGTAACACTAAAGTAGCACTTACTGTAGATAGGTAGGATGAGAACCAGGAAAGAGCAGAGTCTTGGAGGTTATTTGAATGAAGTTTTTTGAGAGGGAGAAGGGTGATAAACTGTATCCAAGGCAGCAGAAATGTGTAATAGTCTGAGTACAGAGTAGTGGCCATTGGTTTTAGCAGTTAGTAGTTGTTAGATTTAGAAGGGTAGTTTCCGTGGAGTGATGTGGGCAAAAACCAGACAGTAAGGGGTTAAGAAGGCTATCAGTGAGGCAGCAGTTGAAACAGTTGTAGACCAGGTGTTCTCGAGGTTTGGAGGTAAGCGGGAGATTAGTCTTAAGTTGTTAAGAATGATGGAGTCCAGTGAGAGCTTCTAATGATTGAAGTGGTGGGTTAGAGAGAGCATAATGGAGTGAAAGGGTGACCAGAGTAATTTGAGGGGACGAGGTTCAGGGGGCAGGTCATAAGGTGGCCAGACAAAGGGAGGAAGTGAACTTTGCAGGAGATATTGTATGTTAAGTAGAGGAGATGTTTGGACAGTGCCGGTCTCATTACAAACAGCATCTATCTTGTTTTTGAAATGATTGGCAATGTCCTAGGCGGTGAGTAAGTTGGTTGGTGGGGCATGATATAGAGAGTTAGGTAAAAAAGAGTGAGATATGTCTGCAATTTCTTGGTCAGAGTGGTAGACAACTCCAGCAGAGAGAATTTGATTGACAAGAAGCACACCCTACAAGAATCCCACCATACCCCTTTAATCTGGCAAATCTAGCAAAAAAACGATATTACGAGAAGGGACCGTAGCTTTAATTTTTTTAGGAAGACACCTCCCTGTAGCTCACCACCTTGCATTTAGGACAGGTTGCGCTGCATGCAAACATATCTGTCTCAAATTAATTACATTAGTAATAAAAAAAAGTGTTTTGGGCCTTCTACTTCTGCTGCTCAAAGTAGGCCTAGTACTACTTGATCGAAACGTGTTACTGCTAAACTACCTCAAAAAAGACTTAATTGTTTAACTGCACCACTTTTAAGTTGATCTGCATTTTCAGTTTTCTCTTACAGGGCTATTCACAAAAGGGTAATGAGTTTGGAGAAGGCAGGATAAGTGAACAATCTAGGACAACATAGCTGAACTGAATTGGAGAGTTTTTCCAGATCAGCTATGTTGTCCTAGATTGTTCACTTCTCCTGCCTTCTCCAAACTCTTCACCCTTTTGTGAATAACCTTGTTAGTCTCCCTGCAGAGTCCCACAAATACCTGTTGAGCCTGCCAGACGAGTCCACCTAATGCAGCTTCCTGCTGCAGTGTCTAGCAAGGGGATTGTGTGAAGCACGAATAAACGAGGATTTGGCTCAGTCTCAGAAGCTAAAGGACATTTTTTGTTTACTTCATCAGGCTTGTGCATCACATAATAACTGTATTTGGTTCTTGTTTATACTGCCATTGAGGTGCCTTCAGTTGTACTTTAAAATAACCTTAGGTTGTAGCTCTGCCCATATCTTCCTGATCCTCTTCTCCTCTGGGACATCACCAAGACCAAGTTTTCCCAGTTCCTGCCAAAAAAACAGTTTTAAAGATATACCTGATGAACTGCTGAGGCTGCAAATAAGCTCCTCTTTCTAGCTCACAAATTGTATTGCGTCTTAATACAGATAGCTTAAGGGCTTGTTCACACCAGGAACGCACTGGTGCTAACGCACTGGAACACACTATCGCATCCTGGCCGGCTCCCTGCGTTTTGGGGCGAGAGGCGTGCATTTAAGTCAATGGCCCTGCAGCCACGCCCCCTGCCCGCAGTGCAGTTGCCCGCATCAGAACGCATGGCACAACAATGCCTGCATTCCTGTCCAGTGCGATTGAAAATGCTGAAAGCACAATCTTTTTGCGATTGCATTGGACCGGGACACAGGCATTGTTATGCCACACATGCGGGGGTGGGGCGTGGCTGCGGCGCCATTCACTTGAATGCTTACTGTGCTGGAACGCACTAACTGGTTGCTACCCATAATCCCTGTGTGTGTTGTAAAGTAGCCACCGCTCCAAGCCCCCCCCCCCCCGTGATGGACTACAATCGTAATACAAATTAGTAAACTAAACATGAGATTGTATCAGCACCAATTTAGAATGATTTGAGGCTCTACAGCCGAGTGATACACACATAAGATTTTTCTTAATAGTTAAGGTACTTGAATGTATTTTTAATATTTAACTCCTGAGTTTAGTGTGAGTTTAAGCAGTGAAGGTGAAGATAGGCATAGAGCTTGGAAACTTGCACATATTAAAATAAAGTCAGCAATATCTGTTATCACAACTTCCTTTTAATTTAGGTAATTTGGAGAAACATGCCATAACCCACTTCTGAAGATGTAGAAAAGCTAAGGATCTCAGAACATCTAATGCACCCTGCAACTGCGAGGTTCACTAATCCAAGTTTTTCCATAGAAAGCCCTAGTATCTAATTGACTGGAAGGGATTCAGCCTTTGGAAAAATATACAGAAAAAGATGTTACAAAAAGGGAGACAAATAAAACAACAGTACAATAAAAGGGAAATAAAAATGAGGGTACGTAACAAAGTCCTGGTTTTATGAGTTCCAGTAGAGTCCGGCAAGGCAAACGTTATTTTCTTGATGTTAAAGGGAGCTTTTCCTACATGTACACAGGCTTCTTCTTCGATGTTACATAGGAGCCTCTAGCTACCTGGTTGCCAAGAGGTACCTAAGATGGAATTGAGTTGTGTAAATATACTCTCCATATCTTCCTAATGATTGATCCAACTTAAGTAGAATCACTCCTACACATTAAAAACCAACTCCAGCCAAAAATATATTGTTTGGTTTGGTTTGGTTGGAGTGGAGCATTTTTAGAACCTCTGAGTTTTTATTGCCAACAAATGTCCCTGTTGGGGAGATTTCATTTTTTTTTTCTTCTCTTGGTGATCCTTTCTCAATAAAACCTGGTAAACCCCTCTCTATTCAAAACCAAATTTGCTGGATCTGTGTTGTAAGCATAATTATCTACATCTCTCTCTTGTTGAATAGCATCTCAGCAGATATCAAGATGCGATGTTTGAGTGTGTAAGATCAGAGCAATAGGGTTAAACAAGGTCTGCAGAAATTTAAAACCTACTTATCCCAATTTTTCACCTTATGATGTAAGATTACCACAGCTAGGCAGCCAGAATATAATGGATTTGACACAGTTCTTAACCTACTGAAAGGATGTTCTTTGTCATGTAATACCACTTTGAAAGTTTCCCCTAAAAATTGCTGGTATATCATAAGCCCCTCCCATCCACATACTCCAATGCCGGATAATCATTCAACGCTGTAATGTCATAAAATCTGTCAGGGGGTATCCATCCTTACCTTTACTGCTTCCCAGCTGGAATTCACAAGATAGTTCCTGTAGGGACCAAAACCTTGAAAAAAGAGAGACGACAGTGTAACGAGCCCCTTGCTCGCTCGGTCCACTCTCCCGGCACTCCTTAGATTTTAGACCGCAGCGTCTGATATTTCGGACATCCGATAATTTGGGATTCGAACTACAGCTCTGTGCTGTTCGTATCCAATGGTGATAGCTCACAACAAACACCAGGCAGGCTGCATGTAAGTTCAAACAGGAATCTGCTTTATTGGATGCACACACACACTTTTATAAACAACAGTTTGAAGGTGGCCCAACCGACCACCTTCCTATTGGTCAACTGCAAAGTATCCTCCAGTCCTCACCTAGGTCCTCTTGGCCATGCAAATGAGGACTCGAAACAGGGCAAATAGGCATTGGTCCATAGTCTCTAGGAAGGAGGCTAGCCCTCAAGCTCCTCCAGCAGCGCCAGTGACGGTTCAGTCCGTCACATTTCTCCCCTCCCGACAGTAGACTAACCAGATACCAGACCCCCAACTCGTCTGGACCTGTGTTAGTCGGACAAGACAAATTTACATGTCCGGCATCTGATTTCCTGCAAACAAACTGCCGCTGGGGGGTGTTGAGGGCCCCTACATCTCCCTGCACCATGGCCTGTCGCTGGGGAGTGAGAATGGCTGCCTCCCCTCCCTGGGACAAAGACTGCCACTGGGAACAAGTATCTGCTGCACCTTTTTGCAGATGCTCCACCTGCTGCTGGGGAGAAATTTGGCTGCCTCCTCCCTGGAACTTCTTCTGCCGCTAGGGAGAGAGGCCGGCTACCTCCTCTCCCTGGAACTCCCGCTGGGTGGTGTTGGGGGCCCCTACATCTCAATGCACCATGGCCTGCCGCTGGGGAGTGAGAATGGCTGCCTCCCCTCCCTGGGACAAAGACTGCCACTGGGAACAAGTCTCCACTGCACCTTTTTGCAGATGCTCCACCTGCTGCTGGGGAGAAAGTTTGGCTGCCTCCTCTCTCTGGAACTCCCTTTGCCGCTGGGGAGAGAGGCCGGCTACCTCCTCTCCCTGGAACTCCCTCTGCCGCTGGGGAGAGAGGCCGGCTGCCTCCTCTCCCTGGAA